CTGTCATTACCCAAGTGAGGGCCGCCCTTCTCAGCTGGGCCCCTGATATCAAAATTAGTTTGCATCTCCCTGAGCCGTCGCCTCTCATGATCACCTCTTATTATCCCTACAGAGATGGGTGTCCTTCACAGTCTTTGCTCCCTTCCCCGCCCGAAGACTGCCACTTTCAGGAGGTGACTTTATATCTTAGTTCTCCGAGAAAACAGATATTATCAGGCAAAACTTCCAAACTCTCCCTTGCTCAGTATTTGCATCTCCTTCTCTCCACACATCCTTTCTTTTTACTGGCCGGGTTCTCCAAACCTGTGATCTCCCATCCCATCACCCTAACACTGCCCCACAAAATCATCATCCCTTCCCTCCAGAATACAAAGACAGCAAAGCCAGTTCACACAAAAGGGGAAGAAACCTCACCCACTCACGAAACTATAAACCCATTCGTTACAGTGTTCCTTATTTCTAGCTATTTCCCTTCACTCTCCCTCTCATTTTCACATCCAGGCTTCTGGAAAGAGCACTACCCCTCCATCCAATGCTGTCTGGCTCCAGTATCTACTACTCTACTGAAAGTTTTTCCTGAGGTGACGATAACCCCAGTCAGTGTCCAGGTGTTCCTCCATCGTTTCCTTACCTGGATTTTCTGAAATCAATGGCTTTCCTGAGTGCCGTTCCACAGGCTTCTCTCTCCCTTGCCTGCTCCTTCCACGCTCAGGGTTCACTTCCTGCCTGGGAGATCCAGCAAGACTAACCACGGTCCTGGGTATAGATGGTGCCGTCCCCTCCCTGTGTCCCAAGTGACACATGGTAGCTCCATTTCATTGGATCATAACTTTTAATTCTAAACTAGTTATTTGCTCCTAAATTGTAGATCTGCCAGCCGTTTGACATGTTTTCAACATTTTGATAATGTCAATGAAAGTTTAGTTCTTAAATGACAGACAGTTATAGCAAAAGTGGCTTCTTTTTAAGATATACATGTAGAAATAGTGATCATTTGTAGCAAACCGGTAATCAAACAACAAAATCAACAATTATACTTTAATCTTTTTTTTTGGGGGGGAGACATTTGATAAAATTAAATTAAAATCCTTTCATGGATGGGGGTGGGAGTGGGGGGTAAATGCCCAAATACAAAATCTAAAACAGAAGTACAGGGTTCAAAAAACTCCTCAAGTCTATCCATTGACTCCTTATAAACCCAGATTCTGAACCTATGCTATAAGCAAAGGGAGAAATGTACAGTGAGCCAAAGCCAAACATTAAGATCACAGTAACTACAGTCCGCTATCAAAGACAAACAGAACAAGAGACATATTAATCATAATGACTATTTCAGGGAAGTCAAGGACATTACTTTCCTTAAATAATAGTTCTTTATCTCTTTTTCACTCATTTGGGTCCCAGCCTTCAGCAGACATTTGTGGAAGCTCAAGAAATGAAAGGCATTTGCTACTTCTCGCATCAATTTCCTTTTAACAACTTGGGGCTCTTCTACTTGAGGGTTTTTTAACCTGTTCATGCTAAAGAGTCTGTATGATAATGACAAAGCCAAAAGGTTGTCCTGCCTGAGTAGAAAGCAGAAAGGCCTTTCCCACCTCCCCACAGGACATCTTTCCTAGGCAGGAGCCCTGCTGAGGCCTTGCTTCCTTTTGCTTGGCGGCATAGTAAATAGGAAAGACTGATGTTTGAATAAAACGTGAAATCACCCACCCTGTTTTACATTCCTGGCCTAGAAAAATCTCCTCAATAATATTTAAGTCTTATGACAGTTACAGGTAGCATTTGATTCTGCTTGAAAGCCGAAGTGTGAGGGTGTCAAAAACAATTAATGTTCTAATAGCTCTCCTTCTTAGGTTATTTGGCAGGTGCAAGTTCATCAGAAAGAGAACAAAAAAGTAGTCTCAAGAGAAGAAGCCAGTGACATTTAGCAAAATCATATAATTTTACTACATTATTCCTTATGCTCATTCTACTTTAAAATAGGATACAATTTAAAGAAATGGAAATGGTAGTTGTCAACATTTACTACTTTGATAGATAAGGCTTTCCAGAAAAGGGCTGGTTTCATGCTGTCCTCATTGTTTTCAAAGAAGCCTTAAGGCAGCTAGGGCTCAGCAGACACCAGTGAAAAACTTAACAAATTTCATAATTCTGCCTCAAGACAAATTCGTGCTGTTTGGTAAAAAGGTAGGTCAAGGGGTAAGGTGACCCAAGGCTGAGTGGGTGAGGGATGGGATGGCTGTGTGTGAAGTTGTGATACATCAACAACAAAGCCTTCCTGTGTGCCTCCCTTAGAGTTATTTTGTGGAGAAATCACGCTAATTCAAAAATATCTAACTAGCTTCACATTTAATTCTGACTTCGAATCTTAGAGTGGCAGAGCAGCTGTGCCTGGAGGCAATACAATCTTATTTCTATAAAAATCTCTCAAAGCTCCATATATAAGTGGGAGAGTAAAAATAGATAATCAAATCCAAATTAAGGCTATTAAGAATTGATTTAGGGTAAAGATAATATAGCAAGATTTTGTTTAGGTTATGGGTGTTCACTAAAAATGTGTAATACTTGTTTGCCTAAAATTTTGATTATGTTTTAGCTTATTTTGTCACAGTTAAATAGTTTTATCATTAGGGGTTTTAATTGCATATAGTTTATAGAATTCTTTCTGATTACTCTATATCCATTTAACTGAAAAAAAAATTCCACTGTACTACTTAATGAAGAGAGAACCATCTAATGAGGATGCAATCAAATTGCAGGCAGACGCACCATGAGGTGTGGCTAAACAGTTGGTATTTGTGAAAACTTGGCCACAAACGTTTTCCAGAGTCTATATAGTGTACAGGGGAAGAGAAGTCCCTGAAGAGATTAGGAAGAGTGACATTAGTCACTCAGTGGCATAGTACTGTGTTGTGTAAAGAAGGAACAAAAGAACAAGAACAAGAAAACCAAGTCCTTGAAAGCCTCCTTTCAATGATCGAAATGGAGGCTCCATGGTTATGCAATCTCCCCCTGTTTCTCCATCTTCTTTTCTTTTCTGCCTCTCACTTACTTCGTTACTCACCCCACATTGTACCTAAAATATTTATTTTAAATTAAGCACAGCAGGATTATACATATGCCGTCATAATCATATGATCATTGTGTCGGCCGTGGTTCTTTAATGACCTACAATGTGGGCTGACTTGTTGATTTTATATATTTTACTACTAATAAAAAATAATCAAAGTATCTATATGTAATCAAAAAAGAAATGCAATGAAAATCAGAACTGTGTTATTGTCATAGTTGTGTCAATAACTAGCTCTGTACTTTTGGGAAGTTTTTAGCCTCTCTGAGCTTCCACATACTCATCTACGAAACAAAATCACCTCTAAGGATCAGGAAAACATCATCCTCTCCACGTTCTGCCATTATCAATATGTCACAATGACTCTAAATCATAAACCCAAAGTTAGGAATTAATTATCCACAATAAATTACTCCGATTTATTAAAGCTCTTTTATCCAGAATAGGGAAAGGCAAAACAATAAGAAAAGCACACTGTTGAAAAGAGTCAACAGATCTATATGTATAAATTTTACAGTAGGTTTTTACCATTTCTCTCATTTATTCGGCATCTACCATATATACTTTACCTTGAGCAGTAGAAGTCTACACAGCTATTAAGACAGTATTACATCTATGTCTTTTTCTTAATTACCTCTAATTTTTTTAGGCTATTCTAAAAACTTGACACAAGTTTCTCTACTCAGTCACACATTCGTGCTAGAAGTTAACTCATCTGCACCCAAAACAACCCTTAAACTTTGGTGACACTCTGAATAAATGGCAATCACAATGGGTGGATTTGTTTTTGATTGAGAAAAGTAGGCAGAACCTTCTAATACACAGCAGTGAGGAAAAGGGAACCAAAATAAATAAAACCCAATCAACATGAACCAGTATCTTGAAGAGAAGCTCCGTGAGGTTGGGTATGCGGGCGTTGGGTAGGGATTTTTAAAAGGACTCCATCGCATAAATATCAGACACTAAGTTAACTCACCTTCTTTTTAAGGATCCTAGCACATCTGTCCACAATATCACATGAGGCTTACCTGTATTAGTGATTTGGTCAAAATGCTAATCACAGTATTTCTAAATGTACTGACAAATACGATAGAGTAAACTAGGTGACAGACTCAATATTTCAAATTGTACTGAGATAGAAAAACCATAGGCAGTCAGGGACATGGCCACAGTGGAGGGGATTAAGGCTAAGACCATAACAAAAGCCAAAGGAAACAACTTTAGAATAGCTTGTAACAAACAAATTCAAACTGCAAAGCCCGCCAGAATTATCAGTCCAGGTGTAGGGAGCCAATCACCTCGTAACAGACAATTTCAAACTGCAGAGCCCGCCAAAATTAACTGCCCAGGTACAGGAGACCAATCAGCTCTGACTCAGAGATATTATACTCCCAGCGCAGCCCAGCCTGTGGGGCATTCAACTCTTGGACGCCCCCTCTCTCCGGAGAGCTTTTCTCTTATGCTTTTTCTCTTTGCTTTTCACAATAAAAATGTACTTGCTTAAGCCTTGCCTCTCCAATCCGCATTTCCATTCTTTGGTGACTGCGAGATCATGATCCCAGCAACACACCAGGATCCTATATCAGTATCTTGAGGTAGAAGAAACCCACTACTTAAAACAGTATTATGAAAGCACGATGCTTTTGAAAGGATACACTGGGCAACACTGATCAGAAATGAGTGATGCAACTTCAAACAATAAGAAGAAAACATTCACTCGGGACCTGAAATGAGAGCCTGGACCCCACCGCTGGCGATACTGTCGGGTGGAGAGCATGAGCACACAATCTCAGCAAACATGTCCAGCCACACATTTCTACTCCTTTAGTTATACTGAAACTCGAAAATTTCACAGCAGCCTCTTAAAATCACAGATCAACAGGATAAAAGTAGATAAGAGAATGTGCACTTTATGAATACGGTTTATTACCATGGTTACAAACTTTCAGAACAGGCCTCTGAGACATTGGGCTGAGACTCTGCCGAATATCTGTTAAAAAGAAAAGAAACTTAATATAGAGGTCTGTTCATCTCAAAAAGTGTAACAGCATTAAACTTTTTTCCAAGGTTAAATATATATCTGGACGCAAAGCAATAATGTTATGACTTTTACTTCCCATTTAATTACACTACTGTAAACTCCACTGGGATCAAGTACACATGGTTCTTTAGATGAGACTTGTCACACTGATAGGGATTTCCTGGGCTCAGTGCATTGATTTGTAATGTGCTGCTGACACTGGCCAACGGGAACGCTTCTCTCTCTGACATTTGTCATCGCCAGGGAAGGATTAAGAAAAGTTATGAAACTTCTGAGGAGCTGTTGCCCACAGCACTGCATTCTTGACATATGACTTTAAAAGAATTAAAAAATATATAAAAGCGTTGTTCTTTGTGACCGTTCCCTAGAAAGTAACATGAAACAAGTATAATGCTCACCTTTTGGCTTCGGTGTCCTTTTCCTTCGGTCGCGGAAGGCAGCCCCCGACTGCAAGGCCTCCAGCAGACTATCCATCACTCCTGTCTCATCACCCTCTGTGGAAAGAGATGCAGGGAATTCCATCAGCCCTCGGGGTTACCATAGCAATGTCAAAGCACACACAGAAACCGGTGATGGGGATGATGGGGGAAAGGATCAGATGCCAGGACCAAGCCAGCCATTTCAAAATATGTTAGGACTTTAACCCGCATAAATCAAACACCTTTTAATGAAACCTGTCTCATTAGAGCCTATGTTACTGTCCACTAAAGAGGACTGAGTTCCATCAAGTCCCTTCAGAGCACTGCTTTTATAGTCCAGCAACACAATATCCTTAAGTGGAATGTGGTTCTCGTCATGACTGCGTCTCAGATTCTCATCTATCATATTTCCCTTGTAGAACTGGGTTATTTTCAAAGCTTCAGCTTCTGTTCTAAAATTGACCAGGTGTGGGAGTGTTTTCGTTGGCGTTACGGATACTCTGGCTGTCTAAACTTATAGTGTAAAATTGCATTTCCACACTAACTTTTGTGAACATGCTCCCGGCTACTGATGCTTCATATCAGAGGATAACCATCCCCTAACTTTAGGTGACATACAACAATTACTACAAATGTTTACAGAATGTATGAAAATCTTATCTATAATGAAAAATAAACCAAAACGCTCTCAAAAATCTAAAAGACAGCAATACACGATGATAAGTTTAAGTTGACATTCTGTATGTGATTAATGAAGACGTGGTGATGGAGCCGTTCTCTCTACAAATATCAGATTTTCTTGTAATAATCATGGTTATGTATAGTTGTCAATGCTAAATTATTATTTAAAGGAAGCAGAAACAAAAGCTTCAAAAAACCTAGTGGCCCAACCTAAATACAACGGAACACCAAAGACTTTTTTGTCCCTTGCGAGGCTTTATTTGGAGGCATTCTCCAGGAAATTGTATGGCTGGTACACAGTTATGTCTCAAGTAATAGAAAACTATTTTCCTTTGGAACTTTTCTTTCTTTCTTTCTTTCTTTCTTTCTTTCTTTCTTTCTTTCTTTCTTTCTTTCTTTTTCTGTGAGATGCAATCCCTTTATAGGGAACAGATGACAAACGAATGCAGATAACACACTTATTTACAGTTTACAAACAGGTATATAAATATGACTATGCATCGACCCCTTTTCCATCTGGTTTTAATTCATATTTTTAGAAAAGTACAAAACCTTCTAAGTGAACTCAAAAGGTGGCTGAGAAATAGAGTATTTGGAGATTGTCAATTTACATGTAAATTTAATTCTTTAGTGCTTTGATGGCTATTTTAATTAAAATATGTTAAATGTTTCAGACACTTTAATAGTAACCACCTAGCTATCTTTGAAAATTTATACTCAAACGCAACTATATTTTTCCTAAAAAGAACTACAATTAATGCCAAATATTTAAGGTAGTGAATATATTTTATGAGTAAGAGAACACTCTTTGTTTTTTGGTTTTTTTTTTGCTGAGCCATCCTGCCACCTGTTGGCAACTTAGCGGCAGTGCAGCTCGGGCCGGGAATCAAACCAGCAACCCTGTTGCTCAGAGATCACACTCTTGAGCAGAAACATTTTAAAAATGTAAATCTTTAAGAAAATGAGCATGCGGTTAATGGCATACACTTTAAGGAGAAGAAAACTACAGAGAAAATTTGAACTTTCCTTAGTCAAATACGAAGGAGTATATATAATACAACCAAATGCTGTTGGCAGTGGTATTGTTACGGTGCTTTGGAAACTAATGGGGGTGCCAAAAAATATACACAAGTGGACATTCTGGTCAGCGTTGCTCCAGCAGTAGTTCACCATAATCAGAGGTGTCTGGACGCTGATGGTAACCACTTTGAGCATCTCTTGTAAATGCCGAAGTCAAACGTGACCTGTATTCATCTTTTATTATCGGCATATATCGAGTATTACAATTTTAATACAGTTTTCCTTTCTTAAAATGTGTACACATGTTTTGGCACCGTCTGTATTGTGTGTGCATTACGAGACTGAACAGGTGGGTAAATGTGCTGACGCTGGTGGCAGGGGTGCTCACTGCGGGAAAGTAAGTGCCAGGATGCGACAGCAGGCTGAGGGGCAGAATCATGAAGTGCTGGACTGGAGTTGCAGGTATCATACACGCAGAGGGTTTTTAAAAAACACTTTTCCTAGCTTTGTGGTACCAAAGAGCCCAGAAGTAATGACATCGCAGTAGCAATGAGCACACCTAATTCTTGGATCTTGGTTTCTAAATATCATTACTCACTAATACTTAGAGAAATGGCTGATTTTAGGGCTGAGTCCAAGACATGGTGAAATGAACCAGGAACATATTGTTGTGCCAGCAAATAAGAAAGCGCTCAAAGTCAGACAGGCATATGTCCGAAAGCCAGGGGGCCAGACTGAAGGGTGCCTCAGCCAAATGTAGGATAATTTGAGCGCTAAATAACTAATAATGGGAATGGATTTTTACACAAAAGGCTGTGAGGGGACAGGATGTGGAGAAAACTGGCAGATATAACCTTACTCAAATAATTAAATTTGACATAGCCAGTGACGGGGCACACTGACAACTGCCTTCTGAAGTGATGCACTGAGACAGTCCATTACAACTTGTGTAGTACTTGGCACAAAAGTACTTAACGTGGATCTAACTGTGGGGAAACAATCAGACAAATTCAAAGTGAGGCATATTCTGTGAAACAGCTGGCCTGGGTTATTAAAAATCATCAATATCATCAAAGGCCAAGAGAAAAATAAAGAAAAGGTTAGAGAACCACTCTACATTAAACAACTAAATGCAGCATACAAACTTTGATTAGCTCTTGGCTTATAATAAGGTTATAAATGACATTAATGGGATAACTGAAGATACTTCAAAATGCACTGGATATTGAATAATTATATTGGATCAATGTTAAGATACCTGAGTATGATCATTATATTAGGATTAGGCAAGATAATCCCACTGATTTTAGGAGACAGATGCTGACACTTAGGCTCAACTACAATTTATACCATGGTTCCATGTTCATGCCTTTGAACATGCTGCTATCTGTACACAAAACATCCTTCTTACTTTCTTCATCAAACTCACTCATTCTTCTCTTTCAAGACCTGACCTGTGTGGGGGGGCCCTGTGTCCTCATGGCATGTGGTACATATAGCAATACATCCTTTTCAATATTGTTTACTTGACGGTTCCTACCGTTAGACCATGAGTTCATTGAGGGCAGGGAAGTGGTGTTCACTTATCTTTAATACCCAGCATAAGGCTAGTATTACATAGAAAATGTGCATTGCATTGACTAGATAACAAATGTGGCACCACGTGGTCAGCTGGAAGGCATAATCACGCAGGAGAATGAAGGTCACAGGTGAGGGCTGGGGCCAGGGAGTCACAGGAGTACCGTCCCACCCTGTAAGCAACAGCTTGGTTTCTTCCTTTCCCCTTGTCTCAAACGTCCATTCAGCTGGCAAGCTCTGTTAACACACATTTCCAGGTATCTCATGCATTGACCCATTGTTCCCATTTCTGACTAAACTTGATGTTGGTGGTCCAGGGTTGAATTATTTTTCACTTGAAATGCTGCATGAGTTGCCTGGAGTCCCACTGCTTCCAGTTTCTCCCTAATTCTATTCATCTCATACAGTACTGAGAAGTCCCAAAGCAGAATTATGATCTTCGAACCCCCAGTCAAACATTCTCAGTATCTCTTATTTCCCGCAACATGAAGTCCCAGCTCTTTCACTCACGCCTGACGCTGATTAGAATTGCTCTTCTAATTCTCTGTCTTACTCCCAACATCACAACCGATTCTTTGCCTGAACATAACTGCCCGTGTTTCTCCGCGAACATACCCTCTCCTGTCCATCACTCTCCCCCTGGAACCTCTATCCCTACTCTAGCCTCCCAGAGCTTTTCTTGGCCTTCACGCCCACACGCATAATGGAAAGAATACAATATTGATGTGCGAAGACAGGCATTGTAGTCTGAGCTCTCAGCTAATGACCTGTGTGACCCTAGACTAGTTCCATAATCATTCCTGACACGTGTAGTAGAGAGAATGCCTGCCTAGGGTTAATGAGAGGACCAAATGGGGTAATAGAAACTAAAGCACTTGGCAAATTGCTAAGTGATAGAAAAAATATAGGGAAATAAATTCATAAATGAACTGTATACTAAGTACATCACAGGAAGTTTATGAAATATCTGCTGATTATGTTTCAAAAATTGTTTTAGATACATTATAAATTAAATAAATATTGTATAGTGTATTTGATTATATTCTTAACAAAGGACAAAATCATACATAACTTCGTTTCTAAGGCAAACTCTAGTAGAGGATTAAAATATTCCAATGTGGAACATGAAGATATATAATAAAGACGTTTTTCTATATTTTAAAAATGCATTTAGAATATTCATTCCACACATGTTTGCTGAGGGCTTACTATGTACCAAGACGTTATCAGACACTAAGGATACCTGGACCCAAAGTGTTACCAAGAAATGTTTTCTGCTCTCAGGAAGCAGAAGACCACGCAGGCATGGGAGGGATCTATATGAACTCCTGGAGCTGGGAGGCTCTGAGGGAGTTATGACCTGACGAACGGCAGGTGTTGGCCGCGACAAAGGCTGGGGAGGGAACAGCTCACCTGGGAGAAGAAATAGCCAACAAGGGCACAAGATAGGAACAAAAACAAAAGTGAAGCATAACAGAGTATTGAAATAATTCATATTTACATTATTCTAATACAAACCAGAGAAATAAAAATTAGTCATTTTTTATTGGAGACTAGAATTCAATTTTTCTAACTATAAGTCAATTTATATTCAAAATATTTATCACCTCTCTCCTGCTGTGAAAACTCTTTTAAATAAATACACTAACTGCAATAGTCAAAGCTTCGCTGTGTCTTGGTAACATGTCACCTTGTTTAATTTGTAGCTGATATTGTAAAAAACTGCACGGTGTCGTGGGAAATGGAGAAGGGAGAGTTAAGGATATTTCTAGAGCAGAACCGATAAGAGGAAGGCA